ACTGGTGACAAAATAATCAGCTAGGCACTGATACAATTGAGACACTACCATTTGATCCATGAGGAGAGAATCATTAAAGGATAAGTTCATCTTTTTGCCAAAAATAATAAATGCACATTTTTTACAGGTGCATTTATTATTTATGTCTGCAGGAGCTTGAAAAGCATTGCACCGGCGATCAGTAGATTGCTGATGCCATGCAGGTCTCTTGCAGACCTGTCAGAATATCTTCTTGCCATATGGGGTGTACAAGCAAGCAGATATTCTGACAGGAAGCTTCAATGAACTACCATGGCACTCCACAGTACCATGGTAGTTCATTGAAAATGATAAGCTGACAGCTGCTAAGGCTGCTGGGACTTGTAGACACTCATTCACAGAACTCTGTGAATGAGTGACGTGGCCGTGTGGGTGGAGCGCCGCACGGCCTTGCTGTTTTCAAATCTGACAGATAGCACTGGTAGAAGTTTCCTTGTACTATCTGTCGGGGGGGCGGCAGGCATGACTGCAGCTGCAGCTATAGGAGCACCCTAAAATGGGTGGAGCATGTAACTTGTTCCCAAAGGTGAACCTATCCTTTAAGGTGCCAAGCTACAGTGGTAAGAAAGTGGCCTATGTGGGAGATGGACAAGGACATTACATGATGGTCATACCAAGGGCAGACTTGGATTGTTGCTCTGGAGAAAATGGCTAGCAGAAATGGAGAGCTATAGATGTAGTCCAGGCAACTATAACTATCATGAGAGTGAAAATAAAATGTGTAGTCTCGAGCTCTCACATTAAGGGATCTCCAAGTATCAATCAGTTGGTGTGATCTAAGCAAGTGTTTGAGAGTTTTAGGGAAGGCATTACCTTTTGAAACTACCCAGCTTCTGTCAAGCTTGGAGTGAGCAACTAAATTAAAATCTCACCCCGACATTCAGGTGTGGTGAATGGAACTTGTCTAACATCTGAAAAAAAGTACTTGTAGAAAGTTAGCTGTGAGTCATTGGGGGCATACACAGATGCCAGTGTTCTCATTTTACCCTGTAAAAGATCCCTTGATAATCAAAAATCTACTTGTGTGGTCTTTATAGACATGTTGTACATCCAGAATAATTAAGTTTTTAACAAAGATGGCTACTCCCCTTGACTTGGACTCATAAGTGGCAAAAAAAACATTATATGTAAGATTTGTCAAAAAAAAAAAAAGAGGGATGATTGTTTTGGGAGAAATTGGTCTCCTGTAGAAGGAGGACATCTGCTTCCATGTGCTTATAAAACCTAAATGCTTTTTTTCTCTTTTGTGGGGAATTAAAACCCTTTGTATTATGTGTTATAATTTGGAGACCCATAACAATTTAAGAGTATATAGAGCAAAAGTGATAGAGAGTCTAACTCTAGGGTGCCCTTGACTCAACAAATAATGATGCAATATTATATAAAGGTGAGTCCCAAATTGTTGGGATATAGTGAGGTGTGATAATGGGAATACCCTAGGATTATTTGTATATGTTCCAGTAAATAAATCATGTAATACTATGAAAGACATAAATAAACCAAGCCAATGATCATAGTATTAGGTTTCCAATGCCAACAGGGGCCAGGGGGTAAAACCTCTACCAACTATTGAAACTATTAACTAGGACTATGGATTCCAATGCTCTAATGAACAAATAAGCAAAATTACTCAAATAGAAAAATCGTGTGGCTAAGGTGCTTAAAAAAATATCTAACGTTTTTTGCCCGAAAAGGGAAACACTTGGTGGAAAGAAATAAATCAGCAACAAACCAAACTGACAGCAAATAGTCAGAACACCTGACTATTCACCAATGTAGCATAGTGGGGAAATCTAAACGGGCACTTCAAGACTTCAGCAAGTTGTAGGGGAATCTTAAAGTCCAAAAGCTTGCCAGCAAAAGCTAACCTGACAACATGGAGAAGGAATCTTCCTCATGAAGGTGGTAATTCCAGGATCAGTAGTATGTAAACCACCTGCACTACTCAAAATAGAATAAAAATAAAGATCAGGAAGCTGCTATCACCTGGCTATATACTTGAATATGTTGCAAACATAAAGAGAAAATGGTGTTGCGCTTCCATACACAGTACCTAAATACACTCAAATGGCATAATTAATGCATAATTGTTAAATCTCAAATAAATTCTAATAAAAGAAATATACACATCAAAAAAGGACAATATCATGTGATAATATGCAAAAATATATAAATATATAAAGAAGAAATAAACATCACACCCTGAAGAAAACAGTGAGACAATGTAAATGCATCCCTTAAAAAAAAGGGGGAACAAAGTGACATATACTGTATCAGAAATAAAGAAAGTGATAAATAAATGGCATAAATTATTAAATTATTATTAAAGAAATATACTGTGAGACTGTCAGGATAAAAACCCGACTCAAGTAGGGGCGGACTGACAACTCATGAGGCCCCCAGGCAATAGGGGGTCATGGGGCCCCTGTGTCCTTGCCCAAACTCATAAAAGCCTATGAAAATGTACCAGGGCCATCTCATGGGGCCCCCTACTGACCCCGGGCCCTCGGGCAGTGCCCAAGTTTCCAAATGGTCAGTCCGCCCCTGGTCTCAAGACAAGACTTTCGGACCACACAAAGTTTGTCCACATAACTGTGTTTCAAGATTGTGATGAGTGACCAAAATAAACAATTTATAACTCATGTGATCAAATCCCTAGTTGAGATTTATTTGTGTTAACACAAACACATAGAAAGTGCCACAAAAATATATCACAATGCTACAAAATACATAAAAAAAACATAAAAAGCTCTACTAAGCCACGTAATGCCACAAATAATGTGCCACCAAAAAATATAACAACAATAAACAACAAATTTCCCCATCTGAAATCTTCAAGCAGCTGAATAAAGTGAAAAATTCCACGGTATTATAGATGATACAGGTGAAAAACTGTGATCTGTCACCGGCTGGATTGCCCCCTCACCTTCATGTAGCAACCCCAAGGGGCCAATAAGCCTTCAAAAAATAAGATACAGCAATACAGCCAATCGGCAGGTTAGAATCCAGTATAGCAATAGTGGTGGTATTCCCCTTGTGGAACAATAGATATGACCAATCCTAATATCCAAGCTTCTGGATCAGAGTTTTTATCTCCAGGTCATACGTGACGATCTCCTGGTGACAGATCTCTACGTGGACCATTTTCTCTTTATGATTCCAGGATCAGATTGCTTGATCTTGACGTTGTTGTCTGCGGTCTCTTCTAGGAGAAGATGATGCCCAGAATGGAGAAGGGTGTGGGGTTGATGGCAACCGAGGTAATACCGTAGCATCAAGGAGGCCTAGATGTACCAAAAGTTCCTTCCCCTCGGGAACTGTAGTAAATGTGTATATGGTACTATTGTGGGGAACCTGAAATTTAAACGGAAAGCTCCAGGGATAGTAGATCCTTACAGCTTGTAATACTGAGGTGACCTCTTTTATCTTATCCAAAGTGGTCGGGGTTGGATGTTTGGGGTGGTGCAGGAAGCCCACAGTATCTTCTCCTTAATTAGATAATCATTTAAGACATAGCACAATGTTTCTGGGAGGATTTTCAGGTGGCGGTTTAGGGCAGAGAGCCCTATGTATCCTGTCGCATATAAAAGATGTGAGTGGGGTATCGGGGAGCACAGATTGGGACACCTTCTGTATTGATGGTAAAATACCAGTTACTGTCTCTGGAACTCCCCTTACCTGGATATTATTGTGTCTGTTTCTGTTGTCCAGGTCTTCCAAGTGTGCTTGGAGTTGCAGCACTGTCTTTGAAAGTGTTTTTTTATGTTCCTGAGGTCTGAATAGGCCATGCTGAGTTCATCATATTTACTTTCTAATAAGTCAGTTCTATTGCCCAGGGCAGCTTTCTCCAATGAGAGTGTGCTGGTGGATTTGTGTAATTCAGACTGGAACTTCTGTGCTAGTTTCTCATACATCGCTGAGAGACTGCCATCTAAATCTGGTGTAGCCAGGTGTACCGAGTACTCACTGTCTCCCATTGAGTGTGTTGGGGAGGTTTTCATGGCCCGAGAGCTTGCCTGGACTTGATCTGGCCGAGTGTCACCTTGAGACATCCAGCTTTGTTCCCATACCTGTAGTAGGTAAGTTGTAAGTGATCTTTGAGCTGTTTTTTGCAGCTGCTCTTGGGTGCCGGCATGCGCTAGATGTTTTGCCAGGGTTGCAAGATAAAAGGGGATAGAATCAGGTGCTAAGTGGATCTGGGGAACTCACAGAAGTCTCTGCTGCCCTTGGAGTTCAGGTAACTAGCTTCCATCCAGCTTCGTGCTGCGCATGCACCCCTCCACCCATCAATTGTTTCTCCTAATTTTGATAGAATAGCGAACAGTTAAAGTTCTTACTATTTTTTTTTTTTTTTTTTGTGTGTGTGTGTACCTTAGGGTAAATTTACCATCATTTACTGTCTTGAGATTCAAACAATTCAGAATCTGGAAACACCCTTTAAAAGGATGGTGGACGCAGTTACTGCCCTCCCCCGAACATAGTACCCCTGCTTATTTACAAAAGAAATGTTTACAGTGCAAATAATGACACACGTTTTGATATGTCGCCAAGATCCTAGTCAGCCATGATGATCAAACCTACCCATATGGAAGAAAAATATATTTGAAATGTATTTTAAAAATATTCTTCCCAAATATATTGCCATATATTCGAAATGCTACAATTTTGACCATATTCAATATATTTCAAAATATATTTCAATAAAATATATATATATATATATATATATATATATATATACACCGTATTTTTCGCTCAATAGGATGCACTTTTTTCCCCCCAAAAAAGGGGGGAAAATGTCAGTGTGTCTTATGGAGCGAATATGGAGCGGCCGATCCTGTATTTCTGCTCCCACCACCATGTCAGAATTCCGGGCCGGCCGCTCAGCTCATCTCTGCAGCAGGACCTTACCTGTTCCTCGGTCCAGCGTTGTACAGTCTTCCCGCACCGGCATCTTCCCGCGCCGTCATCTGTGACAGCCGGGTGCCCACTGCGCATGCACGAGAAGCGCTGCACTTTGTGAATGGTCCAGCATCTTCTGGGACACATGACAGGTCCCAGAAGACGCCAGGCCATTCGCAAAGCGCAGAGCTTCTTGCACATGCGCAGTGGGCACCCGGCTGTCACAGCTGGGTGCCCACACTAAAGGGAGGACAACTCCGCAGAAGTGGGAGCGGGTACCTGTCAAATTCAGGTACCCGCTCCACCTCCCTCCCCAAAGGTCCTTAGTCTCTTGGTCATCCCCTGTACTGTCTGCAGTCTCTGGTCATCCCCTGTACTGTCTGCAGTCTCTGGTCATCCCCTGTACTGTCTGCACTCTCTGGTCATCCCCTGTACTGTCTGCAGCAGTCTCTGGTCATCCCCTGTACTGTCTGCAGTCTCTGGTCATCTCCTGTACTGTCTGCAGTCTCTGGTCATCCCCTGTACTGTCTGCAGTCTCTGGTCATCCCCTGTACTATCTGCAGTCTCTGGTCATCCCCTGAACCATCTGCAGTCTCTGGTCATCCCCTGTACTATCTGCAGTCTCTGGTCATCTCCTGTACTGTCTGCAGTCTCTGGTCATCCCCTGTACTGTGTCCGCAGTCTCTGGTCATCCCCTGTACTGTGTCCGCAGTCTCTGGTCATCTCCTGTACTGTATCCGCAGTCTCTGGTCATCTCCTGTATTATGTCCACAGTCTCTGGTCATCCCCTGTACTGCGTCCGCAGTCTCTGGTCATCCCCTGTACTATGTCCGCAGTCTTTGGTCATCCCCTGTACTATGTCTGCAGTCTCTGGTCATCTCCTGTACTGTGTCCGCAGTCTCTGGTCATCTGCTCTGTGTCCGCAGTCTCTGGTCATCCCCTGTACTATTTCCGCAGTCTCTGGTCATCTCCTGTACTGTGTCCGCAGTCTCTGGTCATCTCCTGTACTATGTCCGCAGTCTCTGGTCATCTCCTGTACTGTGTTCGCAGTCTCTGGTCATCCCCTGTACTGTGTCCGCAGTCTCTGGTCATCCCCTGTACTATTTCCGCAGTCTCTAGTCATCCCCTGTACTATGTCTTCAGTCTCTAGTCATCTCCTGTACTGTGTTTGCAGTCTCTGGTCATCTGTACTGTGTCCGCAGTCTCTGGTCATCCCCTGTTTTATGTCCGTAGACTCTGGTCATCCCCTGTACTCTGTCCGCAGTCTCTGGTCATCTCCTGTACTATGTCTGCAGTCCATTGGCTCAGAATATTTTTTTTCTTGTTTTTCTCCTCTAAATCCTAGGCGCGTCTTATGGAGCAAAAAATACGGTATATACTGCATGTTGAAATGCATTTTTATTACAAAATATATGAACAATATTTTTAAAAATAAATTTCAAATATACTGCATGTCTTTTAAAATACAAATCTACATTTTTGGAATGCATTTACAAATATATGTAAAAATATATGTTAAAATGACTTTTTATAAGTTAAAAAAATCTGAAGAATATATTTAAAGAAAATATATTTTTAAAAATATATTGGAAGGTGGAAGGAAGGGAGGGACGGAGGGGTGGAAGGAAGGAAGGGGTGAGTGGAAGGAAGGATGGGAGTGGTGGAAGGAAGGAAGGGAGAAAGGGAGGGAGGGGTGGTGGAAGGAAGGAAGGAAGGGAGAAAAGGAGGGAGGGGTGGAAGGAAGGAAGGGAGGGAGTAAGGGAGGGAGGGAGAAAGGGAGGGGTGGAAGGAAGGGAGAAAAGAAGGGAGGGGTGGAAGGAGGGGTAGATGGAAGGCAGGGATGGAGGGATGGGTGGAAGGAAGGGATGGATGGAGGGTTGGAAGGAAGGGGTAGGTGGAATGAAGGAAGGGGTGGGCAGAAGGAAGGGGTGGATGGAAGGAAGGGAGGGGTGGGTGGAAGGAAGCAAGAGAAGGGTGGAAGGAAAGAAGGGGTGGGCAGAAGGAAGGGGTGGGTGGAAGGAAGGGAGGGAAGGAAGGGAGGGGTGGAATGAAGCAAGAGAAGGGTGGAAGGAAGGGAGGGGTGTGTGGAAGAAAGGGAGGGATGGATAGAAGGAAGGGAGGGTTAGGTGGAAGGAAGTTAGGGAGGGGTCGAAGGAAGGGAGGAATGGAAGGAAGGAAGTGAGGGGTGGGTGGAAGGAAGGGAGGGGTGGGGGTGGAAGGAAGGGAGGGGGGTGGGTGGGTGGAAGGAAGGAAGGTTGGACTTGTTGGGGATGCAACAGCATGTACTATATACAGTATTGTGTGTTAATATCACTTGACCAGTAGATGGCACTGTACACTAAGGTTACCAGTTGTGCATATCTGTAAAACTTGTTGGTTCTTTTTTTTCTTTTCTCTCTCTCTCTTCATAACTAAGATGTCTGCTGTTACAGTTTGCTGAAATGTTTTGTATGTTTGCAACTTAAGCCACACAAGTAAACCAAGTTCTGCCTCATCACAAGCTACTAGTGTCTTCTCTAACACATAACCAACAGGACTCACATGACTTAGTCAGATGCCTCACAGCTGTCAGCTACTCTGTGTTCAATTTCCCGCCCACTTATCCTTTGAAGCTGCACAGACTGAAGTGTGGGGGTGGGCATAGGGGGAGGCAGAGCAGATCCAGCCTTTCTCCCCTCTTCTCCTATTGGTGCGGAGGATGGGAGAAGGGGCTGGGCACTGAGCAGCACACTGGGGGGGCCAGAAAGAAATGGAATAATCGGGAATGATCGGTGCAGCGGTGGGGGCAGTGACAAGCAGCAATCTCCCTGCATGGCTTTCAATGAAGCAGCTGGAAGCTGATCTCCTCCTCTCCCTCCTGCAGCTTCCAGCTGTTTCATTGACAGTCATAAAGAAGATTGCTGCTTGTCACTGCTCCCACCACCGCCCCTCCCACACACCCCTAGTCCCTGCACTTCTCGCACTTCTCGCCACCCCCAATCTTATTTCTACTTAATGCGATTTGGCGAGTGGAAATTTCGAGGACTGGGATAGGGTATTTTGGCTGTATCATCAGAGCAGGATTGGGTACAAGGAGTTTTTCCATAGCGTACTCTTGCCTCAACAACAATAATTATTATAACTATCACTCATCTGCATGATATAAGACAACAGTTTGGTCTTCGCTATTCTGCCAGTACCAGCAACTTGTACGCCAAAATCACACTGCTAACCAAACTTTTGGAAATGGTTCCATCATGGTTTTTTGCATTAGGTGAAATTTTTCAAGCTAAAGTTTACTAGGTAAATTCTGTGCAGCCTTAAATGTCAACGGTGTTCCAACCAGCCATGTGAAAAATAAAATCATTATGTTAGGCCGATACAGTTAGTGAGCAAATGCTTATGATTTTCATTAAATAAAATAAACTTGTATTGTACAGTACATTAGGGTGCCAAGGTTGTTTATTTGTAGTTTTTAGCTTGCCATTCGCTTTAGGCTATGCTGAACAACATAAATTTAAGAAGCCTCTAGGTGTATTGTATAAAGTTTGAGTATCAAAATGTATTGCCTTAGCAAAAATAGCCGAATATAGCTTTGCAGTACATTGACAAGATTTAAGAAAAAAAACAAAAAATACTGGATTAATGTAAAGTATAATCATAGAATAATTGCAAAGTTATTTTTAAACTGTGCAATGTATTTTTCATTGTTGGATTAAAGCTGAATTCCAGGCAAGATATTAAATACTGTACACCGACGAAATATATATATATATATATATATATATATATATATACGCACACTGCTAAAAAAAATTAAAAGAACACTTTTTAATCAGAGTACAGCATCAAGTCAATTAAACTCCTGGGATATTGATCTGGCCAGTTAACCATTAGCCGCCCGGCCTATAGCCGTTTGGCGGCCGCAAAAATGCTTCAGCTTTCCGGGTGCACGCCAAAATATATATATTTTTTTTCATACTGTCACCAGTCAGTGTCCCTGTTCACCGCCATGCCAGTTATATGATGATGCTGTACTGCACTGGTGACAGTATGTAAAAAAAAAATAGTGAAAATTATTTTTTTAATTTTTTCATTTTCCGAAAAATTATGACAAAAAAAAAATACAACTTCAAAAAACTCGCCATTCCTCTTATGAAGTACGTCGGACTGTCTACTTTACAAAAAGGGGTCATTTAGGGGATATCTGTACTGTTCTGACATTCTTGGACCTCAAGAAATTAGATTGGCTGTCAGTACTTCAGGATTGATCAATTTTCAGATCTATACCATAGTTTGTGAACTCTATAACTTTCCTACAAACTAAATAATACATCCTAATTTGGGTTATTTTCACCAAAGACATGTAGTAGAATACATCTCAGCCTAAATTTATGAAGAACAATTATTTATTTGTAAACTTTTATAACAGAAACAAAGAAAAACGTTTTTTTTTTCCAAAATGTTTGGTCTTTTTTTGTTAATTTAGCAAAAAATAAAAACCCCAGCGGTGATTAAATACCACCAAAAGAAAGCTCTAGTTGTGTGAAGAAAATGATAAAATTTTAGTTTGGGTACAATGTTGTATGACCGCGCAATTGTCATTCAAAGTGTGAGAGAGCTGAAACGTGAAAAATGGCCTGGGCAGGAAGGTGTAAAATTGCTCGGTATTGAAATGGTTAAGTAGCAGAGTGGGTTGTTAATTAGTTTCAGCTGCTTTAGTGTTAATAATTAAATTAACAACAGGTGCACTAGATGGGCAACAATGAGACGACCCCCAAAACAGGAATGGTTTTACAAGTGGAGGCCACTGACATTTTTTCCCTACTCATCTTTTCTGACTGCTTTTCACTAGTTTTGCATTTGGCTAGGGTCAGTGTCACTAATGGTAGCATGAGGCAATACCTGGACCCTACAGAGGTTGTACAGGCAGTCCAACTCCTCCAGGATGACAAATCAGAAGGTTTGCCATGTCTCCCAGCACAGTCTCAAGAGCATGGAGGAGATTCCAGGAGTCAGGCAGTTACTCTAGGAGAGCTAGACAGGGCCATAACCTTAACCTATCAGCAGGACTGGCATCTGCTCTTTTGTTGAAGGAGGAACAGGATGAGCACTGCCAGAACCCTACAAAATGACCTCCAGGAGGCCACTGGTGTGAATGTCTCTGACAAAACAATTAGAAACAGACTTCATGAGGGTGGCTTGAGGGCCCAATGTCCTCTAGTGGGCCCTGTGCTCACTGCTCGGCACCATAGAGCTCAATGGGCATTTGCCATTGAACACCAGAATTGCCAGGTTCACCAATGGCCCCCTGTGCTTTTCAGAGATGAGAGCAGGTTCACCCTGAGCACGTGACAGACATGAAAGGGTCTGGAGAAGCCACGGAGAACGTTATGCTGCCTGTAACATCGTTCAGCATGACCATGTTGGTGGTGGGTCAGTGATGGTCTGGGGAGGCACATCCATGGAGGGAAATACAGACCTCTACAGGCTAGACAATGGCATCCTGACTGCCATTAGGTATCGGGATGAAATCCTTGGATCCATTGTCAGACCCTACACTGGTGCAGTACATCCTGGGTTCCTCCAGGTGCATGACAAAGTCTCGCGGCGAGAGTATGCAGGCAGTTCCTGGAGGATGAAGGAATTGATACCATTGAATGGCCCCCCACGCTCGCCTGACCTAAATCCAATAGAACAACTCTGGGATAGCATGTTTCGGTCCATCAGACACCACCAGGTTGCACCTTAGACTGTCCAGGAGCTCAGTGATGCCCTGGTCCAGATCTGGGAAGAAATACCCCAGGACACCATCCGTCCTCTCATTAGGAGCATGCCCCGACATTGTCAATCATGCATACAAGCACGAGGGGGCCATACAAACTACTGAGTATCATTTTGGTTTGTTGCAAAAAAGGACTAGCTTGCTGCATCATTTTTTCACTTTGATTTTTGGGGTGTCTTTGAATTCAGTCCTCTGTAGGTTGATAATTTTAATTTCTATCAAATGATGGGGCATCCTTACATTCCTAACACATTACCCAGTCCATATCAGTATAGATATCCAGCATGATATTTTTCCCTATTGAGGTCTGATGTGTTTTTAGAAATGTTCCTCTAATTGCTTTGAGCAGTGTACATATATATATTTTTTTCAGATACATAAGTAGCGCTGTCAATTTATGCAGTGCTTTAAATATATATTGTACACTCACATCAGTCCCTAACCCTCAAGGGACATACAATCTAAGATCCCTAACTTACATTCATACTGCACATATTAGAGCCAATTTAGACAGGATCCAATTAACCTACTAGCATGTCTTTGGAGTGTGGGAGGAAACCAGAGTAAACCCACGCAGGCACAGGGAGAACATGCAAACTCCAGGCAGGTGGCACCATGGTTGGGATGTGAACCAATGACCCTACTAGTACTGCCAGGTGGAAGTGCTAACCATTTAGCCACTGTGCTGCCTATATATATATATATAAATAATTTGTATTTCTGTCTATCCACCTATGAGATTTACATATCTATGTCACACTGCACAGTCATGTCTGTTTTTTCTTTGCTGCAGATAAAGTCAAACCTCGTGCTACTTTTAATAAAAAGATGCACTTACAAAGGTCCAGAAGATAAAAACAGCATATGATGGTAAAACAAAGATGGAAGACCCCTGACATCCAGTTTCTTCCCATGTATCTGAAATCTCTTGCTCAACGAGTTTCATCATGCAACTCTCAAGAGGAAAGTAGTTATAGTATATAGTACAGATTTCTGATTCACTCTAGCTTTGGGGTACTGGTCGCAAAAAGAGGAGGGTTCTTGCAGGAGTGCAGAATAAGGTAGGTCTTTGTACTTTATCCTCACCCCCAGCCTATGACCACTGGAACCCATACAGTGCAGGGGGACCTCACTGCATGGGTACATTAACCAGTTGCTCCTCGGCCACAATACATTTACTGGGGCAGGGCGGCAAGGGTAGGCTGGATCACATACATGTACATCATACATTATATTGCCAAAGATATTGGGATGCCTGCCTTTACATGTACATGAACTTTCATGGCATCCCAGTCTTAGTCCGTAGGATTCAATATTGAGTTGACCCACCCTTTGCAGTTATAACAGCTTCAACTCTTCTGGGAAGGCTGTACACAAAGTTTAGGAGTGTGTCTATGGGAATGCTTGACCATTCTTCCAGAAGCACATTTGTGAGGTCAGGCTCTAAAGTCAGATGAGAAGGCCTGGCTCGCAGTCTCCTCTTTAATGCATCTCAAAGTTGTTCTATCAAGTTGAGGTCAGGACTCTGTGCAGGCCAGTCAAGTTTCTCCGAGAATGTTGACTGTTGAAAACAAATGAGACAGACAGCAGGTATTGGATAACAACACGTTTGCTAACTTTCTCCATCTTTCAGACAATGATGACCTTTTGTGCTTCAGTCTTCAATAACTGAAACAAAGAAAAAGCTATTTGTGAGAAATTTGGTATGGGACCTTGCAAAGATATGTATTATGAGTAGCAAAGATAAAACTGGGCTAAGACAAATGCTTCATGGGAGGCCGAGAACTTTTCAGTCGCCCTTCGTAGATGTTAATCACCCAATGATGGCTCACTTGTACATATCAAATTAAAGAGCCAGTATTAAACCGATCCTCCGGACATGGAAATAGACATAAGTGATCATGTAAAAACAGCCCACAAGGAAACTTATTGGGTCACAGCACATTATAAATTTAAATGAATTGAAATGAATTAAAATACATTAAATTTAAAACAATATTTATGTGAGAAGAAGTGTGGTAGACAATGAAGTGGAACATAGCACCTTGAAAGTGGAACATAGCACCTTGAAAAATAAATTGTTGTTCAATCCGGTTGTACATAACAATGACCACATTGAAGTATTTAAAAGTATGGTAATTCAAGATCTAGATAGAATAAAAACCAAAAAGGCCACTGACCCTATGGAAATCAGACGGGGAATAAAAAAGTTAGAAGAAAGCAATCATATTGTAATTAGACCTGCCAATAAAGGAGAAGGGATTGTAGTATTATCTAAAGAAGCCTACCACAACGAAATGATGAGTCAAATACGGGATGTGGACACATATCTCAAATTATTAAGTAGTCCATCTTGGAGGTACAAAAAGGAATCGGATGTATTGATTAAGAGGGGTGTGAAGAAGAACATCTTAAATGCCAAAGAAGGGAGATACTTGACACCCAACACCTGTAGAATACCTGTTATATATGTAGTATTGAAAATTCATAAAAATCAGGATAATCCACCAGGGAGACCAATTGTGAATGGAATACAATCAATAAATGCAAGGCTAGGAGAATACATTGACCATTTTCTCCAACCTATGGTCCGGAAAACTAGATCTTACTTAAGAGACACCAAACATCTCCTCAAATTCTCAACGAAATGCAATTGAAACAAGATGATATATTCTTGGCCACAGCAAATGTCTCGTCATTATACATGATTATTAGTCATACTGAAGCTACTGAAACCACATGATGGGCCATGAATCACTTGAGTGACATGGGAACCCCCCAGAAAAAATTTCTATTAGATTGTCTAGAGTATGGTCTACTACACAATTACTTTTGGTACAATGATAGCTACTATCAGCAAAGTAGAGAAATTGCTATGGGGGCAAAATATGCACCCAGTGTAGCGAATCTATTCATGTTTCAATGGGAAGAGATGAAGGTGTATCTGAATCCCCCTAAGGAATTACCAATCGGATAGAATCACTCTTTTGAGAGACAAGATAAGGCCTGAGTCATAAAATACAGATACCCCAATTATAATGGATTTTAACATTCAGTTCAGAGCAGTCAAAAAAACTTCAAAAAACATTAGTTATTAATAAGAGCAGATAGACATTTACAGACAATTCTATCGGTACAGCCGAGATTCATTAATAGAAGAGCGCCCACTTTAAGGGATAGATTAGTAAAAAATGTGATCAAACCCCCTACAATTGGGAAAACATGGACATTCTTTGCTGGGAAAGGTTTCTATCCATGCAAAATGTGCTATGCTTGCAAAAATAAAAAAAATAACAATCAAAAATTGGAAATGTTCACCTCTACATCCAATGGAAAGGAGTTCCCTATACGGGACTTTATATCCTGTAGGATGGAGGATGTAGTTTATGCCCTCCAATGTTCATGTGGGTTGCAATATGTGGGTCATACCCAGGGGCGGACTGACAACTCATTGGGCCCCCGGGCAATAGGGGATCATGGGGCCCCTGTGTCCTTGCCCAAACTCAAAAAAGCCAATGAAAAAGGTACCAGGGGCAGCTCATGGGGCCCCCTACTGACCCCGGGCCCTCGGGCAGTGCCCGAATTTCCAAACGGTCAGTCCACCCCTGGTCATACCAAAAGACCCTTGTGGAAAAGGATCAAGGAGCATGTGAAAAACATACAGAAAGGTTTCAGTAAACACAGTGTGTCTAAACATTTCTTGACCCATCACAATAAAAACCTAGCCTCCCTTAAGTTTTGGGGGATAGAGACATATAAACCCCATTGGAGAGGGAGTAATAAAATCATTAAATTGAGTCAACTTCGATCAAAGTTGATATTTGAGATGGATATGTTGACTCCAAAAGGACATAATATAGAATTTGACCTAGACTGTTTTATCAGTGATTGTTAGTCATTCTTTTTTTCTGTAACTCTTGTCCTGCTTATACTGTGCTGGTTTATCATTTATCCTTATCTACAAAATAATTTCTACCTCCATCCTCTGTAAATGTATAGGTTCTCGCTCCAGGTTTATATTCAGTTTTGTTCCCTTTGGAATCTTATGGTGCTTTCTTCTCTTTGTCCACTAGATGGAGCTAATTATAGATCCACTGGTGTGGATATTGATTAATGTCCATTTATATATTTAATTCATTGTGTCTATTCACTAATTATGTTGGTGGGGGTAATATTGTTTTAAATTTAATGTATTTTAATTCATATCAATTCATTTAAATTTATAATGTGCTGGGACCCAATAAGTTTCCATATGGGTCATTTTTACATGATCACTTATGTCTATTTTCATGTCCGGAGGATTGGTTTAATACTGGCCCTTTAATTTGATTGTACACATGTGAGCCATCATTGGGTGATTAACATCTATGTCCGGAGCATGGGCTTAGCATTGGCTATAATGCTATTCATTTTGGCACCACACTATTGGCTATTTAAAGATGGGGAATGTCACAGGGCTCCTTACCCTGAAGAAGTCAAGTGACCTGTGATGAGACATGTTGGGTGGAGCCTAGTGATGTCACTTCTGGTCACGCCCAAACTGGCATGAGAGATGTGAGGAGCCATTTTGATTGATGGCTGTGATATGCTTTTGATTCGTTACTTTTGAGTGCATTTTTTATTTGAATAAAGTGTTCTTTTTTTATGGGGTTGCACTATGATCTATTCCATTTATTTTTGATCATATACACCTTAATTCTACTGTGGATATCTGAGAGCATGTTCCCTTAAAGGGCTAGAACTAATGAAGTAGCCACTGAGGATCGGCAATAGATAAGCAGAATTTGGTTTCATCCCTAAGAATGTATGACCTATTTCTTACGTCAGGGAAGAAGGTGATTGTATGGTGCACCTACCTGGTGATGGGAAACACCACAATATAGTCGGCACGGTGCAGTAATGCATATATGTTCACCATAATTCAGAGTTACATATAATTTCTTTAATTTTAGGGAAGCGTAATACTTGGAAGGAACACGTCACAGATCAGAAATTTTGAGACACGGTTTCCTTATAAAGCGAGTTTTTGGCCTATTATAATCTATAGGGCAATGGTCAAGGTGAGCATGGAGTGTGGCCACAAGTCAAGCACGGTGTTGATTATTGCTGGATGATAACACAACATATACTGGATTGGACGTTTATTATTGGAGAAAAAAAAAATTCTTGGACTGTCACTTTGTGTTTTTTCATTTAGGCTAGACTTTTTGCTGAAAATTCATTGCAGCAACTCAAAATGGCACTCAATAGTTTGTATGGCGCCCACGTTCCTGTATGCATGCCTTAATGCAGTAGTAGAACATCTTCTATATCAGCATTCAAGTTCGTGATTCACGGCTTGCCTTGCTCTTGTGGTCTCCTGGATGTTGGAAGAACCATTAGAGCTCTAAGGTGCAGATTTGGGGAACACCTGAGACTCATTGAACAAGACAGCCTAGATCGCAGCAGAGGTGGACTGACAGCTCATGGGGCCCCCGGGCAATAGGGGATCATGGGGCCCCTGTGTCCTTGCCCAAACTTAAAAAAGCCTATGAAAAAAGTACCAGGGGCATCTCATGGGGCCCCCTACTGACCCTGGGCCCTCGGGCAATGCCCGAGTTTCCAAATGGTCAGTCTGCCCCTGGATTGCAGTGTTCGAGACACTTCACTCTAAAGAATCAAAAAATTACTGAAGGCCTAAAAGTGTAGATCATAGCGACTGTTCTCCCATGTAATTCTACTGCCAAAGGGTTCCACAGTCTATGTCACCATGGGACCTTTGGGATTTTTAGATTAAAAGAAGTATGGGTTAAATTAAAAGAAGTAGTTTATTATAAAATATACCTACCTAGGTGAATGCAGCATCAGGCCGCTGCATCTGTTCCCTGCTAAGGGTGAGAGCTGAGCTATCAAAGACCACTGATCACTCAGTTCTCAGTGAACACAGAGCTGGTGACTGTCAGTTTCCATCTCTGCTCTGTATCCCCCCCCCAGCACTCACTGGAGTGTTGGGCTGTGGAGAGGGAGGGAGGGACTGAGCCAGGTGCTGGTCCAGGCTCCTGGTTGGATCTTGACCATATAGCTGGGATCTTTCCCCAGCCTGGCCCAGCTGAGTGGCATCAGCTCACAGCAGATTTTAGCCAACTGTCGGTTGAAAATGGGTCACAGGAGTGCAGATGGAACTGCACTCCTGTGAACCAAAGAGAAGTACAGCCAAACAAGCGTTCTGCTGTACTTCCCCTCTAACCACACTAGTCCATGTGGATTTTAGTGAGGAAATAGATGTAAGTACCATATTATAATTAAGATTAGCTTGGAGCTTGCAATAGTTTTGAGTACAGATATATATATATATAAAATATATATTTTTTTTAAATACACCAGTTCTAATTCATTTTTTTAACATTTCATTGATTTGGACATTATCTGCTAGTACTGTGCCATGTTTGTCACTTGGTTGTTATATACTAGGATACAATCATTCTTTCTTCTTAGGTGTGTAAATATTGTTTTTTGTAGCTTAAGTCTCCCTCTATTGGTCATTGTGTGAATAGCAAAGACAGTTTATAATCAGTTCATAGCATCTTTTCTTTATATCACATAATCAGTTTATTTGTTTTTTTTTCATCAGTTCTTAGAATGTGATTTGTAGATGCCCATTTCTAGATTGAATATGTGAAAGTTCCCCCACACATACAGACTTTTTCATAAACCTCCATAGCTTTTTTTTGCTCCAGCGGCCTTGTGGTGCCCTCTCCACAGCTGTTAATTCTTTGTTAGTTCTATTCCCAGGCATGAAAAAGGAACAGGGCTCTGATATGTTTCCTTTCCAGTTTGATATTAGTACAGGTAGCAGTCTGCTTGCACAGACTCCTGTTCCTGAACCCGCTTCTTGGAAGTGGGTAAGGGCTCATGTACACGGGGCATTTGGAAAACGTTTCTGAACGATGGAAACTGACTGCTGGAAAATATAGGTTAAAAAACGTCAGTTTAGCCGCGTTTTCATACCGCGTTTATGCGCGTTTGTGTTCAGAAGCGTTTTTAAAAGACAACCTCAGGAGACCCTCCCAAATGCATTGAATGCACTGAAATATAGTAAATAATTAACTATTTCAGACATTTTGACAGAAATAAAGAGAAGCAGAAGTAGAGATAGAGGTATGTGTTGAGATTAGCTGTCTTTTCTGGTTGTATTCAGTATGGATCCCATCATGAGCATAATGTGGCACACATTCTACCAAAAAAAGGCTCTAGATAGCATCTGGATATGGAACAGTTAAAAAACACTTCTAAACGCAAATGCTTATAAATGCGGTTATCTGCATTTACAAGCGTTTACAAGCATCTGGCGTTTGAAACGCCGGTAAAATCTACTCCTGAACGCAAGTTTGGTGCGTTCAAAAAAACGACTGTAAACTCAACTACTTGTAAATTACATAGTGTACATGGACACATAGGAAAACATTAGGGAGAGTTCAGGGGCTGCTGAAAAAAACACTCAACAGCTCCTGAAAATCCGTTTAGCGCACAGTGGTTCTCAACATGTGGGTCACGACCCCTTTGGGGGTCGAACGACCCTTTCACAGGGGTCCCCTAAGACCATCAGAAAACACATATTTCCTATGTGTAAAGAGCAGATACTGTGTAGAAAGCAGCTGCTGTGTTGAAAGCAGCTACTCTGTTAAAAGCAGCTACTGTGCTGAAAGCAGCAGTATTGGAGGTAAAACGACACTCATGAATTATCATTACTGGGTAAATAATTTTATGGTTGGGGGTCACCACAACATGAGGAACTGTATTAAAGGGTCACGGCATTAGGAAGGTTGAGAACCACTGGTTTAGCAGCTGCAGTGTACATGAGCCCTAAAGGAGAAATGTGGGAAGAGAAAAATGCAAACATTTATTCTCACCTATATGGCTGCAGCATCAATCCAATGCCACAGCTGTCCCCTGTCATCTCTAAGACAGAGAACTAAGCGATCATGTGACTGCTGATTGCGCATTTCTATGTCTGCTCTGAGCAGAGAGCATTGACTGCCAGTCACTGTTCTGTGCTCTGCCCTCCAGTGCTCACTGGAACGCTGGGCAAAGGAGGGGACGGGAGCAGCTGGCTCAGGATCTCAGTGGTGCGCTGAAAAACTGAACCAGCTGCTGGTCCGAAATCTGGCTTGATCTGACCGACTGGACCGACTCTGTGATTTGGGCTGACAATGGACTGTAGCCCGCTGTCGGCTGATTCTGGGTCACAGGAGTGCACTCCCGTGACCCACAAGAGAAATATGACCAAACAAGCTTTGGCCATACTTCTCCTTAACGTACACTAGTGTGCCAGCACCTTCAGCATGCCGGCTGCAGGGAATCCCCAAACAGCGGTGTGCTTTCCTCTTTGTGGACATCCTAGATCTGGACCAGGGGTGGACTGACCATTTGAAAACTCAGGCACTGCCCGAGGGCCCGGGGTCAGTAGGGGGCCCCATGAGATGCCCCTGGTACCTTTTTCATAGGCTTTTTTGAGTTTGGGAAAGGACACAGGGGCTCCATGATCCCCTGTTGCTCGGGGGGCCCATGAGTTGTCAGTCCGCCCCTGATCTGGACTGCCATGTCTACATCTCACTGTGAATATCCTGCGCATATACTTTAATACCAACTACTTTGTAAGTGTGAGATATTGTTTTTATCATCAGATATCACCAGTTTTAATTACATCTGTGCCCTCCATGCTCTCTTGTGTTTGTTTGCCATGTTCAAAAGTAAACCTGAAGCTTGTGATCTTGGATATTGTCAACATCACTGATGAGAGACACAGATAATTGGGAATACTTCTTTTTTTCAAAAAATATTTACTTCTCACCCACCGTGATATACTGCACATAAGAGATGTATATGTAGTTAGTTGTTGTCAACCTATTTCATACACTTGCGCCAGTAACTTCAGCTTGTTAGTATAATGTAAGGACCCTTTCACAATGATCAGTTTTTGATGCACTTTTGGGGTTTAAAAAGTGGAAGAAAAATGCATGAAAAATGTATCCCTTTTAAATCCTATGGAACGCTTCACATTGCAGAAGCGCAGTGCTTTAACCGCTTAAAATCCGGACACTTTCACCCCCTTCCTGTCCAGGACAATTTTCAGTTTTCAGCGCTATCACACTTTGAATGAAAATTGTGCGGTCATGCAACACTGTACCCATGTGAATTTTTTAGCATTTTTTCGAGACAGATAAAACTTTATTTTTGGTGGTGTTTATTCACCACCGGGATTTTTATGTTTATTGCTATATAAATGAAAATTTTCAAAAATTTTGAAAAAAAGTGTTTTTTTTTTTTGCAAATAAATAATCTTTCTTCATAAATCTTGGCCAAAATGAATTCAGTTATCTTTTTAGTAAAAAAAAAATTAACCCACATTAGTTTATAACCAAAAATTATAATTTTTCAAAAAATGTTTTTACATTTTTATTTTATTTTTTTATATTATTATTTGGTTTTTATTTTATTTTTTATTTTTTTTACATACTGTTACCCTAGCAGTACAGTGGCACCATAGTAACACTGTACTACTTGTGGGGGGTTATGAAGATTTTTTTTTTTTTTTACAGTGATTGCTTTTACACCCATAAAGGCTGTAAAAGCAACCATTTCTCCTCTCTGACTGCATTCTTGCAGCCATTGAGAAATACTGTGTGAGCTGTGATTGGTTACAGCTTGTCACATGGTACAAGCCTGTTGTGAATAGCATTGTACCATGTGACCTCTGTGATCATTCTCAGATTTCACACTTAGTAAGCAATGATGTCAGAAGTGACATCTTGCTTACTACTCTTCATGTGATCACTGATTGGCCAATCAGTGATCACATGAGCGGGACCTCACACACCTTACATCAAAAGCTCATCAGTGTAAAAGGGCCCTTAGGGAAAGTGGAAATTATAGGGACAGAGGGTAATCAAGGCTGGATTACCTCTTACCTGTTATGTACCACAATTTGCTATACTATGTAGAAATCTAGCTCAGGGGTTTTTGTGCACAAGCGACAGAAACTGCCTTTTTTTACAGGACATGCGGCTCAAAAACCACACTAAAAATGCAAACCAGGTGTGTTTTTTATGTTTTTTATGCTTTTTTGCTGCATTTGCACCAAAAATGCTGCAAACAAGATTTTAAAAAATGCAGTAGACCCATAATGGATCAGTATGAAGAGTTCCACATGTTTTTCTTTCGCTTTTTTTTTAAGCACAAAAGCGGAAGAAAACAGATCAGTGTGAAAGCAGGCCAATGGTTTTATACGGGAGTCCATTACTCCATCCATATGTACTGTATTTTTTTTTCACTATAACATATTTAAATCAAACATTTGTTTAAAGTTTTTGATAGACTGGTGAGGGGATAGAACAGTCAGGTTTTCCATTTTGGAGATCCCTCCTTTCTATTCATCCTGGCAACCAGTGTCATCAGGACTGATAGTGAAGGAGGAAAAACACAAGATCTTGAGTTGTAAGCAGAACATCAATAAAGAGTAAGAGAAAATCTTCATCCTTTTGTCTGGTCCTGGCTGTTTAACACCTTAATGCTGGTACCTCCCGGCCCTTTAAGAGGTTTCAGATGCAGGACAGCGGGGTGGGGTTTTTGAGCATGTGACCGCTGTGGTTGGCTGTCACCACTGTCACATGATAAGAAAGCTACTTGGGATTGGGAGATTTCCATTAGCTGTCGATAACTGTGCCGGGAGCACGCAGGGTGTGCACTCTCAGCACAGCTGTGTTTACCATTTGGTATGCATATATGCAATCTCTCGGCATTAAGGCCGACATGGCGAGAGGCGTACTGTTGGCGCCAAGATAATAAATGCATATTTTCCTCACTTGGCAGAGATTTCCTCTCTTCCTGATGTGTTTTAGGGATAGCAAAGGAAGGGAAATCTCCGTAATGGGGCACAGATTACAACAAAAAAAACCTCAGGGATTTTAACCATCCCTACTATTTCCAAAATGAGACAATGATAGATATAATTTAAGGCTGCAGTAGCAAAATTATTTCTACCCAAAGAAATCCACAAAAGGCATTCATTTTCAAATGGCATACTTTAGTTGTAGATGTGAAGTCTTCTATACAACAACCACAATCTGGAGTCTTCTTCTGAGTGAACCCAGCAGTCTATATCTTTTTTTCTATTCAGGACTTACAATTTATGATTGTTTTGTGTGTTTCTTCTTGTGGAGAGCCATGTTTTTCTTCTTCAGAGTGTGCTATAGTGTATAGAGCTATAGTGTGAGAAACATTCACAAAAGGTAATTATTATTATTATACATGATTTATATAGCGCCAATAGTTTGTGCAGCACTTTACAAAATGAAGGTAGACATTACAGTTACAATACAATTTGGTACAAGAGGAAACAGAGGATCCTGCTTGTTAGAGCTTACAATCTAGGAGGAAGGGTGGAGTGATACAAAAGGTAATAGCTGTGGGAGGATGAGCTGATGGAGGAAGTTAAAAGCAGTTTTCTAGTTCGAAGCAGGATAGGATTTTTTAACCACTTGGTAACCTCACTATAGCCGAATGAAGGATACATCAAGTTACCCAGTTCTGGGAGGGCGCCATATGGGGTCCTCCCAGAAGGCGCCTTCCCGCGAGCCCCCAGGGGCACACACCCGGCGATCTCCATGATGAGGTAAAAGGCCAATCACAGCGGCCTTTTACCACGTGATTTTCTATGTCCGATGACACAGCCAGGGGCGGACTGACCATTTGGAAACTCGGGCACTGCCCGAGCGCCCGGGGTCAGTAGGGGGCCCCATGAGATGCCCCTGGTAACTTTTTCATAGGCTTTTTTGAGTTTGGGCAAGGATACAAGGGCCCCATGATCCCCTTTTGCCCAGGGGCCCCATAAGTTGTCAGTCCGCCCCTGAACACAGCAGAGAAAAAAATACAGTTGCTTGTTATCGGCAGCACTTTCCTCACGCTGTCACAGCGTGGAAAGGACTGCCGATAACTGGCAGCTGATGATCAGTGAACTGATTATTAGTGCTCTACAGTGCCGCCCAGCAGTGCCACTCACCATTGCCTCCTACCAGTGCCCAGCAGTGTTGCCCGGCAGTGCCGCAAGTCAGGGCTGTCAGTCAGTGCCATGAGTCAGCGCCTCCCGTCAGCTTTGCTTATCAGTGCCCATCAGTGCCGCCTATCATTGACCATCATTGCTGCATATCAGTACAGCATCATCAGTGCCTCCTCATCAATGCCCACCAGTGCTGCCTCATCAGTGCCACCTCATCAGTGCAGCCTATCAGTGCCCCTCAGTGCTGCCTATCCTTGCCACCCCATCAGTGCCCATCAGTGCTGAAAATCTGTGCCACCTCATCAGTGCCCATCAGCGCTGCCTATCAGTGCAGTCTCATCTAGGCACATCAGTGAAGGAGAAAAATGACCTGTTTGCAAAATTTTATAATAGAAACAAAGAAAAACTTTTTTTTTGCTCTTTTTTTGTTTGCAAAAAATAAATCACCCAGTGGCGATTAAATACCACCAAAAGAAAGCTCTATGTGTGTGAAAATGATAAAAATATCATATGGGTACAATACTGCATGACCGCGTAATTGTCATTCAAAGTGCGACAGTGCTGAAAGCTGAAAATTGGCATGGGGATGAAGGGGGTATAAGTGCTCAGTAGGCATGTGGTTAAAGAGAAGGGTTTTCCGGGATAGTCTAAACGTAGATAGATTAGGAGATAGTTGGACACATTGAGGAAGGGAGTTCCAGAGGATGAGAGAGGCTCTGGAGAAGACCTAGAGGCGAGCATGGGAGGAGGTGACAAGGGAGCTAGAAAGCAGGAAGGCTTGGGAGGAATGAAAAGAACGATGTGCTTGGCATTTTGAGACAAGGTTAGTGATTTAGCTGGGGGCTGAGTTATGGATGGCTTTGTAAGTTGTTGTTAGTATTTTGAACTTATTTAGTTGGGTGAGTGGCAGTCAATGGAGGGATTGGCAGGGAGGGGTGGTAGACACTGAACTTCTGGTAAGGTGGATGAGCCTGGCAGAAGTATTAAAGGGGAGATACCTTTACGTAAGCCAGTGAGGAGCGAGTTGCAGTAGTCAGGCTGGAGATGACCAGGGAGTTAGAAGCTTTGTGGTATCATTGGTTTAGGAAGGGTGTATCTTGGAGATGTTGCAGAGGTTGAAGCGGCAAGCTTGGACAGTGATTGAATGCGGGGCCAATAGGATAGTTCAGAGTCCAAGATTACACCTAGAACCTTGGCATGTGGAGATGGGTTGATGGTTGAACCACTGATGAGGAAATATTATGAGCTCAGTTTTGGATAGATTGATTTTCAGGAAGTGGTGTGCACATGATGGTGGAAATTAGCAGGGCTTCCCCTCATTCACTAAGCACTGGAGCAACTGCACTTGCAGAGTGCACAGTCTATTGCCTTTAATAAATCCATCCCTTGGTGTGTTTCTATCCCCCAATGTCCACTGTGGTATACTTCCAGGGGCTTATCAATTAGACCTCCTTTTTATCCCTACCTAGGAAACATTCTAGGATAGGGAAGATTTAGGAAGTAGGCATTTTTCCTCAATTTTTTAAGTGAAGGGATATCTATGGCACAATAGGATGTATAATCGAGGTACCGATCATTCGCTTTGATCACTAAATTTAACCATAAAATTGGCTGTAATTTAGCATTTCTTTAAAGCTTGATGGATTGACAGGTTTAATCTATAAATTCATTTATATTCCTGCCTAAGAATTGGTTCATTCTAGTTAAACCCTCTACAATCTTCACTGATCAAGTCGAGGGCAAATAAACTTCTATATAATGTATCAAAATAGTGTTTCAGTTCCACATGGTGACTATTCAGAGTAGTTATTTTGTCATTTTTGGTTAAATGAACGGGACTGTAGTATTGCCCTTCATTCACAACTTCAACTCAAACCACGAAACGACCTAGAGAAAGAAAACTACAACTCTCAGAAGAATCTGCACTGAGAACACTCAAACTTTATTAGTAGTGACCTGCATCATACATACAGCATGAAAATGTGTTATGTTCTCCTGGATATCCTGCAGTGCCATTTATTCTTAATGACACTCAAAATGCACCAGCCAACACATGTTCACTAAATCGTACCACAACATATGGTAACTTGTTGCCATGCTTTGTAGAGTGATGCGAATTTTAAAATAAATAGGTGTTTTCTTTTCTTTTTGTGATATTTGTGGGGGGGGCATAAATGAGTTGCCCTAAACATGATGCATCTGCATAGCTGTGAAAGGACACTTAGTGGCCCTGCTTTACATGCATATATATAATAAGGCCAATTTACCTACCAGTGCATTTGGGCTGTAGGAGGAAACCAGAATACCCAGAAAAAACCCACACAAGCACAGAGAGAACAATGACATTCTATGTAGGTGGTGTTTCAGTTGGGACGGTAAGGGAAGGCTCTATTTACACCTATACAGCCCATTCATTTCAGTGCTGCACTACGCATGACTATGAGACAAAATAAGTGTAATAATATAAATATTATATAGTTACATCGTTGGTCTGGCTGAAAAAAGACAAAAGTCCATCCAGTTCAACCATAGAAAAAAAAGAAAAATGTATTATGTATTATGGCCCCTGTACAAATAACAGCATGGAGTCCCCCTCACCCACAAATTCTATACCAGACCCTTATCTGAACATACAGGCTGGCTGGCTGGCTGGCCAAGAAACCATACCAGGGACTGGCGAGGGACTGTTGTAGAGGAGGCGACTTTAGTACCGCTTTTAAGCATCACATACCAGCACATTATGAAATACTTACCCTAGAAAGAAGCCCTCCAGCAGTGCGCCGTCACACACTGACAGGGTTCCTGTCTTCTCCTGGTCTTCCTTCGGGGGCTCCGACAGCTGGAATGGCCAAGCCACAATGACGTCACTCCAACGCATGTGGGGGGGGAGTCACGGGCCATGTTACAGAGCTCTAAAGGGATGGCATGGCATGCCGTTCCTTCAGTGAGCATCAGTGACATCACCGACAGTCGAAGGAGCGAATATCTCCTAAACAGTACATGTTACCTACAGGTAAGCTTTATTATAAAAATCACCAATAGGACTTTACTACCACTTTAACCTTCCTAGCGGTATTCCCAAGTGTAGCTCGGGGTAAAGTTTCTGTACCAAAAGCGGTAACCGTCTGCATTTTGACTGTTCTTTCTGCCTGGAAACTTAGAAAAGTCCATGGTGTCCAAAAAGTGTGTCCCTTTAGGTCAAAAGTGGGTTTAGACCGGCTAGAGAACAGCGATAGTAAATCAGAACCACTTGCAGAATTGAGTGATAATGATTCGTGGAGAAATTCGGCATCAGACACTGAAAACAATTTTACGACTTTGCTCAGTGATGTGCGAACTTGGCGCTATATTTCAAATTTCAGTGTTTTTGGTTTGATTATATTATTGAATTAAATGTATTATTATTATATTATTATTTTTTATGAATATTTATTAAATTATAACTTATGATTTTGTGTTTCAAATTTTATCATACCCGGGATGTTTAATAGACTCTTGTTCGGACAGATTTCAGTGAGTTATTCCTAAATATTACAACCTACAATAAAAAAAACTACATATTTCCATGCAAAGTAATGGTACCGCTTTCAGCACCAAAAATCTGAAGTAATCATACCGCTAGGGAGGTTAAGCTCCAGAGCCTTTTTTATACTTCATCTTTAGGACTTTTCATTTGTTTATTATTGCAAATTATACAGAGGTTATACACGTATTACTTATTACCAAACAAGACTTCCATTTTATAGTACTGTTTTCTACAAACATCTTGAATTTAAGTATAGTTCCCTTTCAACTGAAAATTGTTTACCCAAACTTAAAAGACTATATATCTCATTTACATTTAACAATAAATATGAAGGCTGGTTTTACATGCATATTTTCATGCATTTTTACCTGCGTTATCAACAATGACATGTTTCCACGTCCTGCCATTTTCATAAACTGGCCATATTATTTATACTTGCACACTGACTCATCAAAAAATGGACAACGCACCCTACAGGTGCTCCTGAGATTTATAAATGTTCCCCCACGTTGTGGCTTTTCTTATATGGATATTTTTTATAGTGATGCACCAAAATGTTTGGCTGAAAACACCCCTGTCGGCCAAAATGAAAAAAAAGCACCGATACAGGTACCGAAAAAACCCCGCCCCTCAAAGCCGCCCGCCCCTCAAAGCTACTCATCCGCCGTCACCCAGTCGCTGAGTAGTTCAGTCTTATCTCAGAAGCCATTGATCCTGGCGCTGGGCATAGAGATGAGTGAAGGAAAGATGGCCACCACACATCTCTATGCCCTTGGAGGACCGGAGCGATGTCACTTCCGGTTCCGGCCATTTTTTTTTTTAAAGCATTAGATAAATGTTTTTTTTTTTGATCCCATGCTCTACATTGCAGAGGAGAGATGTGGGCTCTTACTGACCCCATATCTCTCCATAAAGAGGACCTTTCATTAATTATTTCTATCACAAGGGATGCATGCGTTCCTTGTGATAAGAATAAAAGTGATTACAATTTTTTTTAAAAGGAACAGTGCAAAAAAAAAAACAAAAAAACCCATTAAATATATTTTTTAAAAAAAGGTTTAAAGTGCCTCCGTCCCCCCTGTGCTTGCACATAGTGGTGAACGCATACGTAGGCCATGCCCACATATGTAAATGGTGTTCAAACCACACACGTGAGGTATCGCCATGAACGTCAGAGCAATAATTCTCGCACTAGACCTCCTCTGTAACTTTACACTGCTAATCTGTAGAAATTTTCAAAGCATCACCCATGGAGATTTTTAAGTACCGCAGTTTCATGCCATTCCATGAGCGTGCACAATTTTAAAGCGTGACATGTTGGGTATCTATTTACTTGCCGTAACATCCTCTTACATATTTTACAAAACAATTGGAGTATATATTGTTTTTTTTTAATCAAAATGTATTTTTTTCCAAAAAATATATATTCATTTTTAAAAACTGCACATTTCGGTTTCAGTTTTCAGTCAAGTGCATTTTGAATTTTCGTTTTTGGTTTTGGCACCAGAATTTTCATTTTGGTGCACCACTAATTTTTTTATTTAGAACCTATTTTCATTGCAGTACACCACCATTGTACTTTGATTCAGAAAAGTACTCCTGGTCAAAATGCAGCATTATTTTGGAATGAGGCATTTCAGAAAAATACACTGCATTCTGTCCACTAGATGAAGCTGAAGATTATATGAAATATTAGTATTACAGAAAATACAGAAAAATGTGTGCAGCCTGGACAAATCTTTTTTGTACATTCCTCCAATGAATGTTTTACAAATAGACCCCTTAACAAATTAAACAAGATTATGTTTGCTGAGCATGGAGTAGAGAAC